TTAAAAAAAGCATTTTTTACATTGAATTGATGTAATGGCTAGTTGAAGTTTAACTCCAAAGATAACAAGATTCTAATCAAATTCATTTAGGCCACAGGAGCAAAGGTTTCCTGTTAATCAATTCCATAGGTCTGTGTAAACCTTTTTGCTACTAATCTTACTTTGTACCTCTCTGTGCTACCATCACTTTACATATCACAGTAAAGACTCACTTGTAGCCTGCTGTTATTTTTTCGTTAGACAGATCAACTCTCTCCTAAGTACCCTTCTTCTAAGAGCATTCATCTCTTCCATCACTACTAATGTCCAATTAGGATCATCAAAGGTTTCTGAATGTTTCTCGGGACAAACAAGTGTGAGATTTTTGAGGTAAAAGCCCTATAAGTATGAAAAAGTTTTCATAAGAAAGGTATTTGTCAATGGGAAAGGTTGAGATTGATCATTCCCAAGAGGAATAAGTTGACTTTGATTTTTTTGATGAGGTCTTCTCCGAGTATAAACCAGAGGCTCAATATTGGGTTCTTTTACCCAGTTGTAGTGATTCTTCCCCTGTTTCAGATATAGCAATGCTCAATACTATATGACTAGGATCCTTATCACTGTTTTCATTGGTTTTATCACATTGTTCTGACTTTAAACCTCGAGAATAACAGTAGGATGAGAATGATGAGGTGACGTGATCAAAATCATGCTTGGCAGGTGAAGTGATCAAAATCATGCTTGGTAAAGGATAGGAGATAAATCCCTAAATTTTCTTCCATTACCTTAACTTCTCCCCTGGAGAATATTTTTTGTTAAAGTAGGATTTATTTTCAAAAAAAGGGACTTCCATACTCAATTAAAATTTTCTTGTTTGGGGATTATAGCACTTATATCCCTTTTTATTAGAAGCACACCCTATAAAAACACATTTTTCAGCCCGAGCTTCAAGTTTGGAAAAAGTATTATCAGGTATATAAACAAAAACAATGCAGCCAAAAACCATTAAAGGTAAATCTGATTCATTCTAGATAAGGGAAATTTTTTTTGGAAAAATTCTAATGGGGTGCTATATTTTAAAACATGTGTGGGCATTCTGTTAATCAAATAAGTGGCTGTTAAAGCAAAGTTCCCCAAAGATAAAACATTCATTGAAAATATTATAGCCCGAGATACTTCAAGTAAATGTTTATTTTTTCTTTTGGCAATTCCGTTTTGTTGAGGGGTATCCACGCAAGTAGATTGATGATGTATACCCTTTTCCTTCAAAAACTTCCCAAAATTTTATTAAAATACTCTGTTCCATTATCGGAGTGGAGAATGCTAATTTTTGTTTGAAACTGAACTTCAATCATCATGTAAAATTCTTTGAGAAATTTTTCAACCTCATAATTTTCATACATCAAATAAGCCCAACAGAAACGTTTATGATCATTTATAAAGTAACAAACCCTTTTTTCTAGAGAGAGTAGTGACTCTTGAGAGTCCCAAAACATCACTATGTATTAAATAAAATGGTTTTGAAGAAGTATAAGCTTTTGGCAGATAAGTAGTACGATGACTCTTAGATAAGCAACAACTTTCACAATAGAACATTGAACCCTCCAAATCCTTAAATAAAGTAGGAAACAAATGTTTAGATATGGAAAGCTAGGATGTCCTACTTTTAAGTGCCAAAGCATTATTTATTCATAAACAGAATTAGACCTAACACTGCTAAGGTATTGAGCCTTTTTATTACTGGAGAAGCTACCATCAAAGTAGTAAAGTCCATCTATCATCTTAGCACATCCAATCTTCTTCACCGAGTTCCAGTCCTGAAATTCACAGTAAGAATCACAGAAAACTACACGCCAATTAGATTCCTTGGTTAGTTTGCTCAGAGACAAAAGATCACTAGCTAGTTGAGGGACATGGAGGACTTATTTAAGATCTATATTTTTGGAGAATTTTCTCAAACCTTTTCCTGCAATGGGTGAGAAACTACCATCTGCAATTCTAATTTTTTCAAGGCAAGATCATGGTGAGTAAGTGTGAAAAAGATTGGAAAAGCTGGTCATATGATCAGAGGCTCCAAGATTGAAGATCCATGGAGCAAAAGTTTAATAACAAGAAAGGCATTAAGTGCACTACCTGTTTGTACAAGAGAACACTAGGAATTCCAGACGAGGAATTAGATTTTAGTAGCTTCAGAAGGTGATCCATCTGCTCCTTGCTAGATGGACTTGTCTCAGCTTCATTGACAGTGACCATGCTTGCTGCTCTTCCAATTTGTTGGTTTTCCAGTAGGACTTTCAAGTGTGGTGGGGTATGTTGTAGTAATCGCACCGGACCGTTGGCTTCTCTTCAGGTTTTCACTAAAAATTGGCTGCTTTATTAGCAGTAGCCTCCGCAATAACAAAGGCAGAACCCTCAACATGCCCTCTAGTGGTCTTCTTCCCCAGCATTACATGTCTGCGACTCTCTTCTCTTTGAACCTCAGCAAACATTTCACCAATTAGAGGAAGTGGAGTCCTACCAATGATCCGTCCCCGTACTTCATCAAATTCCACATTTAGTCCAGCAAGGAATTTCTAAATACAATGAGCTTCGATGGTCTTTTTGTTAGGATTTGCATCTTCAGTGGATTTCAATTCATAATCATTGAACAGATCCAAGTACTGCCAAAGGCACTTCAATGAATTGAAATAATTGGTGACCGAGTCTTCCCTTTGCCGAATCTCACCTAGTTTCAGAAGTCAATTCATCAACCTGAGATTGATTTCCCAAATCAGAGTACATCTCGTTCACATTGTCCCGGAGTACTTTGGTTGTGGAATAGCATGTATAGTTGGAGCTAATATCTTCATCCATAGAGCTCACAAGCCAAGTCATTACATCGAATTTTCCGCATTCCAGGTCGCATAATTTGCATCCTCTGGTACTGGTGCTGGTTCCTTCTTATCTCTTGTTAGGTACCCATCTTTCCACGCCCTTTGATGTACATCAGTACGGACTGAGACCATCTTAAATAATTATCGCTATTAAGGTGAATAGTGGTGATCTGGACAGAGTGAGAATCGGTAGTGGGGGCTTGGGTTTTGAGAGATGGGGTTGACTCAGATGAAATGTTAGACATGGCTGAATGGCCAAAAAAATCTCTAGAAAAGATATTGATTTTTAAGGTGGCTCTGAAACCATGTAAACTCGAAAGAGATGAGAAAAAATAGAATTAATTTTTCTGTCTTAGCAAGAAAAAATACAAGCAAGAAATAAAGGGAAAGTATTACAATAGCTAGCTGGCCTAACTAATTTCCTATTTTAATATTTTATTAACAACAAATATTTACAACTATCAAATTGAGAGGAACCTGGAAGGTTGCTGATGAATCTGTTCTGGTCTTATAAGCTACTGATTAATGGTTTGGTTAGATAGTAGATGTATTAGCTGGAATGTAAAGGAAATTGAGAAGTGCATTGGTGATATGGATATATGTATTCAATTGAAGAGTGTAAGAACAATTATTATGCAATGGAGAACCAGAATGTAAATGACAAATTCCCAGGCATTCGAGAGGCCATGGTTCTTTCCTCACTTTTCTAACAGAATTTACTGAATGAATTCTCCCCAGCCCCGCCATGACATTTATAAATATTCTACTATACCTCTATTCTCTATTTTAACCCTTTGCTAACTAATTAGTGGAACACTCTTGAATGAATAACTTGTATGAGTGAATCTTATTGGAGTTGGGATGCTATCATTACTCGCCCCCTGAAATCCACCTTGTCCTCAAAGTGGAAGTTGATGCTGGCTTTGTCCATTCATCATGCAACCACACCATTTTCCTTGCAAGCACTCTAATCATGGTCACCACGGAGAAGGGACGTCTCAATATTTGAAGTGAACGGACTTACTTCGTCGAGCAACTATCATAAATATAATATTTAAGGCAACTCGATAGCCCGTTGCCCCTACTGACAAGATGTCCAATGTTCGAACCTGTCGAGTTGAAAACAAATTATAGCGGACCGCAACCTTGATTAACAATTTCATATAGTCATGATCAATCTGCCCTTGGGACTTCATCATCCTTAGAAGCTCCATTCTTTTCTCATCTATGAAGCATACCTACTCCAAATTATCAGTTGCCACCAACACTTGTAAGTCTTTATTTTCACAATTATGTACCATTGGATTTTTCTCGTCACAATGAAGGCAAAACCCTTTTCCATCCTCTTTCGAAGCTCCGAAATAGTGAATTGATTGTGTGGTTGTGATTGCTTCGGTTTGACAAATTTTTGGAGTAATAGAAACTGATTTTGGGATTGACAATGAAGGTGAATTTTGATCAAAAAATGGGTTGGAGACCAATTTAGGGAGTGAAGAGTCTCTGTTTTGCTAATTGGTGAGGAAGTCATTGCTTTCCTAGGATAAGAAGCAATTGAACTTGAATTTCTTATGGATCCTGATTCTCCTCGAGCGTGTTTAAAATATTGATTACCTTTTACTTGATTGGCCCTCTGCAAACCCAAGCCCACATGTTTATTTATATGAAAATGTGCCCCAATTTTTAGCCCATTCTCTTTCCTTCTCTTCATCGTAATCTTCCTCTTCTTCTCAATTAGCCCACCCAAGGATTTTCCTTCCATGGCGTACTCCAGCTTTTGCCCCTTCTGCGATGGTGATACAAGAACCTCTTTCCCATGGAGTTTTATTGGAGTTTGAGAGTTACTGGTCGAATCCAGTGAAGTGGTGACAACACCCTTCTTCTATTCTCGTTCTTGTCCTCCCTAATCCAGAACCATCATTTCGCTCTTCTCCATCGGAATCTCCAAATCCCATCTGCATTACCAAAAAATTCGTCCTCCTGAGATGGTCGGAATCTGTCGAGCATTAACCCTTTCAATTCTCTCCAAGTTTGCACTGTCCTTTGTCGATCGACCTCTTGAAACCAATTCCATGTTCGCCAGTCGAAGTAGGCTATTGCAGATTATTTTTTCTGTCTCTGATAACTGATTTCTGGAAAAAAAAAAAATTTCTTCCTCCGAGAACCGCTCATTTGTGTTTTTGCTATAGAATATTGAAATTTTTAGTTGACCACATCAATCCAACCCTGAATCAATTGCTCAATCTCTTTTCTATTGCATTAACATCTTCTCCAACGTCCTCCTTATCAAGCTCAAATTCTCCTTTAATTCTCTGCTGAAAATAGTTTCTATTAGTCTGAGAATCAATCGCTCTGATACCAATTTGATAGGAACGCGGAAGGTTGCTGATGAATTTGTTCTGGTCTTATAAGCTAGTGATAATGGTTTGGTTAGATAGTAGATGTATTAGCTGAATCTAAAGGAAATTGGTGAAATGGATATATGTATTGAATTGAAGAATGTAAGAACAATTATTATGCAATGAAGAACAAGAATGTAAATGACAAATTCCCAGGCATTCGAGAGGTCACAGTTCTATCCCCACTTTTCTAACAAAATTTACGGAATGAATTCTCCCCAGCCCTACCATGACATTTATAAATATTCTACTATACCTCTATTCCCTCTTTTAACCCTTTGCTAACTAATTAGTGGAACACTCTAGAATCTTGAATGAACAACTTGTATGAGTGAATCTTATTGGAGTTGGGATGCTATCACAAATATCCTAATTTTCGGTAATATTACTACCTAATCTTTCATTTCAACAAATTTACTGCAAACTAACTAAATTATTCATAGTCAGAAAATCTTATCAAAAATTGTATCCAGATTATAAATATAGCAAGAGATTTGAAGAATAGAAAATTTTCCCTTGTTAATATAATAATTTCAGGAAATTGTAGCTTTTGATCTCCAACTTATTGACTGAGTTGCAAGTTGGTCCTCTATCTTTCAATATAGGTGCATCTTTAGCGTTAGTGAACAAAATCTGCCAAAAAATTTCTTAAAATAACATCTGATTTGTTTTAAGGGTTAAAAAATATAGACAAATAATTTATATTAAAAGAAAAACCAAAAAAAAGAGAAAGAAAGAAACAAACACTAACAGTGCAAAATGACAGTTTGGTGGCATTTCAAGAGTGTGGCATCCAGGTTCTTAACCTAGGTTGGTTTAAATTGGTCCATAGATGTTACTGAAGCCCAGTGAAGAGGCCTAGCATGGTTGTCCTGACCGACCTAGTTCCTTGTGTTCCATTTGGGCTCAATGTTTGGGAAATCAAATACCTGTTTCATAATTGAAATTTCTCTCTGAGTCAACCAGGAAGTTTTTTTTTGGTCCATTGTCATACTAATGCCTTTTCAGGTAAAGGGTATTGTCTATTCATTTCAATTACCATTAGATATCTGATCATTGAGGGTCTTTATATGCATATTGATACTGTTACTGCAACAGATAAAATCTTATGATAGTTTCGATGTACACATCAGCTTTCTCTAAAGCTAAGTCAACTAAAGGCATTGTCAGGCATGTCTTAATAATGTAATATCTGGAATGGTGAAATATTTTCTCTATTTGTGCAACATACTACTGTGACATGAGTGTATTAAAAACTTTTTAAACAAATGTTTTGCATTATTTTATTTGTATAAAAAAATCTACGATATATGGCTCTCATGAAGTAACATGGTAATGCAGTTCACCAGAATATGTTGTGTGGGTTTATTGTTGTTCTTGGCACAACTAACCTGTATATTCTGCACTGTAATAGAGAACACTATCCAACATGCGAGGCCCTAATTACCTCGGTGAAGTCACGTGTACTTCTGTAGATCCTGGTACTCTGCCTCCACATATTCTTGCAATGAGGGTCATTCCCACCGATACAAATGAGCTGTGGGCCTTGGAAGTTGATTTAGAGTATTCTGGTGGCATGGTTTTGGAAACTGAAACAAGGCTCGAAATTCGAGAGCTGGAATTTGAAGGAGAGCAAACTAGCTCGAACTCAAGCACTGTTGGTGATGTCACCTCTGATCTACTGGAAGGTATTGAGCATTTTGGGAAACAATTGAAGCTTTCTGAAGAGATAACTGATGGAGTAGAGGAAAAAGATAAAGGAGATCACATCCTAGGTATGTAATAGAACCATTCATTAATTCTTCGTCCAAGTTTACTCAATTTAGTAGCATTTTGATGTGCTCTACAAATTTAGCCTTGATATATGAGCTTTTGTTTTGAGACCGAACCAGTAATTGCTCTAAATTTTGGTGAAATCAATACATTTATTAAATAAAACATTAGATGTGATTTGTGGAATAGTTTTGCAGTAGCTTAGCTTCTATACATTAGTTACTTGAATCTCCAGCCCTTCCAGTTAGTCACACTATGTAGCATAAGTTTTATATTTTTGAAGGTTCTGCTTGAATGATGGCTTGGCATCATGATGTGGTAAATGGGAAAAAAAAATAGTTGATCATATTAGAATCGATATTTATTAAATTTGACTTGGAACAAAACAGAAAAAAGGTTCACAGATCACCTGAGGCAACAGGATTTGAGATTTCCTATGGCATACTGATTTGAATTTGACCATTTTTGAATAATTTTGTTATAGGATGTTTGCAGGTTTCAAAACATGCTCTATGAACTTTCTCAAATAGCAATACAAATCGAGTTGAAATGGAAATGGAGAAACAATAAAATGTCACTTGCATACTTGCACAATATATAAAAGCAACAAATAATAATTCTAGTCTAATTTAGCATATAATTCACCATAGATAGGGCTAAAACTGGATGAAATAATTCCTAGAATTTCTATAGAAGTATAACTAGAGTAACGTAATAATTCGTTTTTGGTATGCCCTAAGTTTTTAGCTTTGTCCATTTAACTAGCGCTCTTGTTTAACTTAGGGGATAGAGAAGTTTCCAACCAAAGCATTAACATTTTAATCTATCAAATAGGTTAGCATATTTTTTGATTTTTTATTTTGCTTTCTTGTACATCAATTTACACATATTCCTAATAGCATGTTTTGTGATCCATGTATGGATGTGTTTACTTGAAAATACAGTGACTTTTGTTCTTGAGGGGAAAAAAACTTTATTTTTTGATGGTCTTGGTGTTTAACGTTTCATACCCATGCATAAGGAAGCTATTAGCATAAAGTCCGAGAGCCATGTAGTAATGCAGTCTATATAAAGTAATCAAGTGCTCCCGTACTTATAGAGTTGTAACTATCCTTGAGGTTAAGAGTTGTTTGAATTTTGATTTGCCCTCTCTGTAAATTGAAATCTTCTACACAATCGATGTTTGAACCTTCCAATTTTTTTAAAACTTGGTTCTTTGGGGAAATTTCGACTAGTAAGGAACAATTTGTGTTTGGAGCTTGGACCCCTGTAGTGTTTGATAAAACCTAATGTTCATAACATCGGAGCGTTACCAAAAATTCATTTTTCTTTACTTTACATGCGAAAAGATCAAAATAAATTTCTTTAATGAATGATAGCTGTGCATTCACAAATTTAAAGTAAACATAGCAATTGTATCTGAAAATAACATTAAACATGTCTTAAAATAAATTAACAAATAATTATGAAGGCAGAAAAACTTAATGAAAAATTTATTTTCTGTTTCTGCAATCCTCTTGGTAGCCTGCATCATCGTCCCACTACAAATCCAATCGACCTTCACTAACTTGTAAGATTTAATGTAGGAGTGAGTATTTAAAAATATCCAGTAAGATACGTGCAGTTTTCATAGACAATTATATAACAATAAAGTAAACATTTCATACTACAATTCTTTTATGAAATATATTGGTGACCAAGCGACACACCCATCATTTGTCATTTTGAATTCCCAAAAGATTTCACATTTCGTTATAAACAACCTAAAAGAGTTTCCATTTCGTTAGGTCGACCCGAAGGTCCATTTGGCAATTCATGCATAAATTATTGAATACATAAAAGTATACGGAAACAACCACTTGCACAAAAGTATCTTACCTTAATTGTTTTAAAAAAAAATTGTGATGGACCAAAAAATGCACGTGAAAGACCCCTTTTTTATGCTTCCTTCTCTCTGACTTGACTATTTATTTTCTTTAGGTAAGAGAAAGCTCTTAGGAATTTTTGTTGGCATATTCTTGGAACCCGTGGCCTTTAAATAGGTGTGGTTAGAGCACAAGATGAGTTCTATTTGAAACAGATTTGATTTGATTTAATCATAATCCCAGTGAACAATGAAAAGTGATACAAAGTAAATCAAACACAAATGTTTAATATATCCATTCTACATACACGTGCCTCCTCATTTAAATTCTATTGAAAGTGGGACACTGTAGCAAACATAAACTCTAGGCGCACTATTAGACTTAAATGCTTATCCCTATTAACCAAAAAGATTTACCTATTTCTACCTAGAACACACACGTACATGGCTGATTTCCAAATTGAAAAAAAAGAAAAAAAAGAAAAAAAAGAAAAACAAAGTCAACTAAATTCAAATGAGTTTGAGATTATCTACAATACTATATTTGCAACAAAAAATTCATTTGCCGTCACTTATCTACTATAATATAGTTTATCTTCCAAAAGAAATCCTCCAATAGAATAAAAATTCTATTGAAGGAAATTATATTAATTCCTAATTCTATTTAATTTTGTTTTCTTTCACTTGGGTCTAACTTAAAGTGATTTTATCCAAAACAACTTTTTTATCGAGTTGAAAATTTCTAATTAATTACGAGCTACAAAATGAGTCAAATATTGATACATTAAATCTTGCTCTATAAAAATCTAATTATTAGGCCCAAATAAAAAATAATAATAATAATAAGAATTTAAACTTATTTCATTTTAGTCACATAATTTTTTCTTTTTTCCAAAATAATAAAATATATTATATAAAACAAATAGCTTTTATTTTTAAATTTTCGGGACATTACACTGTTAGCATGAAATAAAAATGCTCCTTTGTCATTTCCCATCACTGCATTGGAAACAGAGCGTGGGATCTGAATTTTGGGGCACAAAAACTTCCCCTAAATTCTCTGTTAGAATAGCGACTAATCAAGAAAGAACTTAACTTTGTTCGAATAAGTTGTGAGACAATTAACTCATTTATATGCTTACTTAGGTATATGCTTGGTCCAGAATTCTAGACACCTGCGTTAGACATGATTTGTTTCCTGGTCAAGTATCCGATGCAAGTGATTGAATGTAGTTGTAAAATTCCTTCTTTCTCAGCTTTCCATAAATTTCTAAAGTTCGAGAAAGAGTGATTTCTTGTATGATGCTTACATTGCTCTTGGAGATAAAGTAATTAGGTAAATTGATGTTTATGGAGTGGACACCATATGACCTCACTACCTTTTTAACTCTTCATTTACTAAGATGGGGTAACCCGCTGTGGTGAATTCTTTTCTCATTTGAGCGAAATTGTCAGATCAACCTCCATATTGCTGGACTGTTGCATAGAATTGAGTATTAGCCTTTGAGACCCTCATTGGTCTGCAATTCTAATTTGTATGGTAAATATAGGCATGCTTAGAGTCTGTTTGAACCCCATTATTTCCTAAAAATGCATTTTGGAATGGTAAATTGATGGAGAATGTGTGCTTTAAAAATAAGGAAAAGTTTTGGGTTTGCGAGTAATATTATTTTATTGAAGAATGTGTAATTGAAAAGAAGAGAGAAAAATGTATTTTGAAAATAATGGGGATCAAATAAGGGCTTAGTAAAGATTAGTTCTATGCTGCACAATTTCTTTATTAGGAGAGAGGGGTGGAGTAAAAAAGAATGCACAAAGGGACGACTTACATTTATTTTGCTGAAGTGGATGAAGGAGAGAGAAGAATAGTGTGAAGGATGGTGGCCTCTCTTTATTTCAAACAAATGCTTTTCCCAAATCTGTTTATAAAGGAGAACAGTAAACTTTTTAGGATGCCAGACTTCGTACTTCATTATTGACCTAGTTTTCAAGAGCTTCAATTAACACAGAAATTATTCGAGCTCAAGTCTATTGATTTTAGTTCATTTATGAGTCTAGCTGGTTAGAGTGCGGAAGAAGCCAAGTGTAGAAAACGAAGAAAGTGCAGAGTGATATCTTGGACTTCGGGGTTTGGTCTAAAAAACATGTGTGATTAAGCGCATTGACCCCATATATGCATTAGGGTTCAACGTCATGTATATTAAAACTCTGCACTATGAATTTTGAAATCTGTTTCTGACCGTCTTCTTAATTCAATGGTGGAGTGAAGTGATCAGAAAAATCCGAGCGATTTGTGATTGGAGTTTGTACAGATAGAGAACTCTAATTTCTCAATACATTCTTAATTCCATAATAAGTTTCTACTTATTCTGTCTATTAAATTAAAACTAAACTCCAGCCATATATATCCCTTTGTAGATCAAGGTTTCATGCCTAAGTTTCAAAAAACTGTCAACACGAACACAATGAAAAATATATTATGTCGGCATTTCAAAGAAATAAATACAAATCCATCAAGCCTCTCTTGATATTTTGGAAATTCAGATGAAATCTCTTTGTCAAACTTAAACTTATCTTTGTACAAAATGATTTAAGCCAAAATTTGCTTGCATCTTTACCTAAGAAGAATCAATATGGAGATTTGAATGAACGCTACATGACACCAACCAATTTTCCAAAACCTAGGACACCATGTCACCGACCAATTTTCCAAAAACCTAGGACACGTCATGACGGAGACACCTTAAATTAAAATTTTTCTTACTTTTCTTCGTATAATCAAAATACAACATTATTTTCATTGAAATTAATCAACATACATGCATCTTTAAGATTAAAAATTTAAGCACTAAAGTCTGGATGTGTCCTTGAAAGCTGGCACAACTGAGATTCTCAGAAAAAAAAAAACGAAGAAGAAGAAAAGAAGAAAATGGCAACAATTGTCGGATCCTATTATGTCAGGCCTAAGGGAGTGTCAGTGCTTCATAGTCTTACTATTCGGCTTTTCGAATTTTATTTGATTCAGAAAATTAAATATTACTGTTGTTATCAGCCAAATTTTTTTTCATACTTTCCTATGCATATCTACTCTGATTAGATCCATTGACTTGATTCTAATGTTTCGTTTATTTCTGATTTCTGTATACATTAGAAACTTGTGTTTCATCCAAAGATAATATATTAATCTCCCTTATAATGTGGTACCATTATCTCAACTCTTTGCAGATGAGATTGGAGACCCCAAAAGCACTATACCTGCATCATCTCAAGTGTCTAAGTGGAAGTCTATAGTACATTCTATAACCAAACAGGTTCAACAGGTTTGTAACTCCATTCTTACTATTAGCTATTTTTGCTGAGGTATATTCAGTTCCCAAGACCGTAGGATTCTCATCCAGAAGTTTGCTGTTGGGGTCATTTTCATGAAGTACCGAGTCAGCATCTTTGTTTATTTTTTAGTTTAACTTCTAATGTTCTTTGATTTTATGTTAGTTTGAAAGTGCTTTAATATTCTGCTCAGAATCCAACCAGTTTCTTTTGCACTGGCATGTCATTTCACAAGTAAAAACCACTTCAAATTTATTTTCTAAATGAATCCATTCTGATCTTAGGGTCTTCCCTAAATCACCTCTTCCTTATCGAACTCTTCAATCTAACCAAAATTCTGTCTTTTCCTATTCTTAGATCTCCAAAGACTTGTTCCAAATCTCGAATTATTTTTTCACCATCTTGAATTTCTCTATAAATCTAAAAGCTGCTCATCTGCCTTTAACTATCTTGCATCACCATTATTGAACTTCCTCTTTAAATTTCGACAATTCAACCACATGTTTCCAAATTTAAACCTGGTGTGGCCCTATTTTGATGGTCAGGTATCTCAGTAGTCACATGTTTAGATAGATGTAGGGGAAGAGAAAAATGAAAAATAGTATCAGATAATTTGGTTAAATAATTAAGAATTAATTATGAAATATGATATGTGGTTTGGAATTAGACGAGGATATTTTGGATTTGATGAAGTTAATAGACACTTGGAAATTCAACATCGAATCAAACGACTATTATGCATGTTTATAAAACCTATGGGTGGGATTGAAATGTGAAAGTTGAACTATTGTCTCTGCACTAGAATTTGATACGTAACACAAGTGGAAATGGTAACCGAGAACACGCGTTTGTACACATAGCTGGGGATGGGAAGGATAGGAGAAGAGCTGAGAGACAGATCGATTAATTGATGATGATATATGATAAGATACTTTGGTAACTGAATTATCTAGAACTCCATACATGCAGTTATCATATGTAAATATGCTGCTTATATTTAGGAGCAATTCAAGTGCAGGATATTGTTGAAATGATCATCTTTGTTCTAACCTGATTATTCTTTAATTATTGAAGGTTCCTCTATCTTTAGGGGTGAGGATTTCTTCTCTTCGTGGAACAATGCGGATCTATATGAAGGCTCCACCTTCTGATCAGATATGGTTTGGATTCACATCCATGCCCAATATTGAATTTAACTTGGAGTCTTTTGTCGGGGACCGCAAAATTACGAGTGGGCGTGTTGCTTTGTTCTTGATCGGTCGATTCAAGGTGAGATCAGTGATTTATAACATATACGTATTTTCTACATTTAACCTGTATGTTGCTATGAAATTGTCTAGCAGCTACCTGTTCATTTACTAGATGCTTCTTTGAAAAGGAACCTGGTTGCTTCGGACTTAGCTATGGGTAGTTTTTTCAATCAGTGGTTCAAAACTGTTCAGGAGCCTAAGCTCTTGTTGGCTATAATATGATTAATTGCTACTTGGAAGTACAGATTGGTATTTTGAAGATATTGATTCTATAACTTTTCTTGCAGACAGCAATTCGTGAAACTTTGGTACTTCCAAACTGTGAAAGTGTTTGCATTCCTTGGATGTTATCGGAGAAGGATGACTGGGTCCCAAGGAAAGTCGCTCCATTTAAGTCGTGTACTCAAGATAAATCTGGTAGCTCTACCACAAAACAAGAAGCACAGAGTCCCCAACCTGGGGATGAGAAATCTAAGCGTGTTGGCCTTGCTGCAGAATCAACTAGTCAATCCCTGGACCCAAGTGACGTGGATTTATCAACTTTCAATAGCCATTCTTTCCAAGAACAAAGTAGAGCCCATTTGTTAGACAAGGGAACCCCACAAGAAATTGCGCCTAGAAGCCCAGAGGAGAAATTGGATATTCACCCCCTGCCATCTCAATCACTAAAGATGTCAGAGGGACGGAATGATACTTTAGTAGAAGATGGTTCTAGTAGATCTAGGAGTATTGGGACGAGAGAACGAATGCTAGGGTTAGGGAAGAAGATGGGAGAAAAGCTCGAAGTCAGGAGGCGTCACATTGAAGAGAAAGGAAGGAGTTTTGTTGACAGGATGAGGGGAACATAGAAAATAAATGGTAACACTAGATTTTATTTTCAGTAAATACTATTTTTGGATGACATGATCTTATTATCCGTAGAGTTTATACTTATGCTTCTGTAAATTTGTGTAATAACAGGAAAGAGAAAGATGATCTATATTCAGACATTTTATTCCCCAATCCAGAAACCCTACAAATTTGTTTTGACATTCCTATGTCTAAATCTACCTACTTCTTTGCACTGAGGGCCATCTTTGTTATACAGGTTTGATGCAACTAGAGAGTACGTAATACTCATTTACTATTGTGTCAAGTCTTACTAAATAAATATGTCTCAACTTTTATATGTCCAAGTGCAAAATATGTCAAGCAAGCTTTTTCATTTTTGATGAGAAGAGTAATGTTATTTATCGAATGTGGAATTATTTTTGACAAGAGATGCTATTTGATTCAAAATAAAGAAATTATTTTTTAATACGAACAACATCGTTTTTCTGTCAGAATTTTGACACGGATTTGCACCTTTTGGAATTTTGGGGGTTTGTTTTCGGCCAGAAAAAGGCACTTCAATTGGAGAATATTAAGATTTTCAAGAGTTTCACCTAGAGGTGGGCGCGGGTCGGTTCGGTTCGGTTCGGTTCTAAAGAGAGTCGAACCGAGAACCGAACCGAACCAAAATTTTTGGGTGTCTAATAAATGGAACCGTCGGGTTCAAATATAATTATGGAACCGTTCGGTTCGGTTCGATTCCATTCGGTTCTGTACTATAATTAATTTTTTTAATATTTATAACAATATTATATAAATACAACTAATGAAATATTCAATGATTTTGGAATGTTAGAGACTAATAGGCTACCTTATTCAAATGATCGCTACGGTCAAAGTTTCGGTCGGCGAAGGTCACAGCTTCGATCGAAGGTTACGGCGTCGACCGATGATTGTATAGGTTTTGGAATATCAGCGAGGCTGCGAGAGTCGAGATAGTGTTATGCACTTTAGTGTAGGTGTTTAAGGTTATTTAATAGATTTGATCTTGTTGGGCTAAGAAATGAAACAATAAAATGAATAATTTGGCTAAAAATTAAAAAATTAGAAACGAAACAAATTATTGAGCAAAAAATTTGGATTTAGAAATTGTTAATTTGTTTAGAAAAAATTAAAATTAAAATAATTTGATTTATTCAATATAAAAAAAATTAGAAAGATTCGATTTTTCGGTTCTTGGTCTAGAATCGAGAACCGAACCATACCCGTCGATTTTCAATTCAGATACCCGTTTGGGTATTTAATTTGACAAGAACAGTCGGGTTCGGGTTCGATTCGGGAGATTTGCCCAGCCCTAGTTTCACCTAAATTTTTACCTTGATCCAGGGTGGATATTCAGTGTAGAGAATTGGAGAATATTAATATGTTTCTTTCTTCATTTATTTAACCGTTTGATTTTCAAACCTTTGTTGTTGTGTTAATGATCCTTTTAATAAAGGATTAATCTATTTGTACCAAATAGTTTACCTAATGATTTACTGAATTGACAACCCACAGTCGCCCCTCCAATAGGGGGCCGCTACTTGTCAATTCGGTAAACCATTAGGTAAATCATTTGGTACTTGTAGCATCTTCCTTTAATAAACGATTGCAAGGGACTTTTTCGTCATTTTAGTGAGTGGACACACTCATCACTATGTTGAAAGTAATAATTAAGTCCGAATTTAAATATTTTAATTGAGTTTTGTGCTTTTGAAACACTCATCAAGCACTTTATTATGTATAAGCTTATGTTTGCATGGAAGAATACATTGATTTGATTGCATCATAATGCGCACTAATAATGGTGTCTGTATCCAAGGTCGGGCCAAGGCCTTTATTTTCGCCATTTGGACGGGGCTTTCGACTGTCCGCTAATCTAAGTGTTAGGGTTAGTTACGCCTTGCTGGATGATGCTTAGGCGATCGAGGCATTTTATGCTTTGGTTCGACCTCGGTGGCTATGATGCAAATGCCAATGGTCACACTCGTAAGTAATGGGACTATCTGGGGGCTGACGTGGAGCCCTTATTGATAAATAATGGGACCCTCTTGGAGCTAACATGGAACCCGGTGGGTAATAATTATTTCGACACGTAATATTAGTCCTTCGAGTCCAAATTTCATATTCATGTGGACGAAAGAGATTGATGATTTTGCTGTTGCTAGTGCTGAAATTTTGGATTACCATTTCTCCCATGGCTTTTCTGTTTTCTGTTATAAAATGCGTATGCGGAATCAAAATAAATGTTTTCGCTTATACCAAGACATTTGTGAAACAAAAATAAAAAATAAAAAAATCCAACCATATAACTAGATTTCTAGCATAATATCATTATAAAATTATGAGGCAACATAAAAACAGGTTGAATCCCAACCTTGAGGGCCCCCACCGTCTCGCCCTTAGGGTTTTGTGAGGGAGATAAATTACGGGATGTGCTCCCAACAGGTTAGGGAACAAGAGCTGCCTGTACATTGCGCCTATAAGGAGTCAAATTCCATATTTCAGGAATCGAACCCCCACACTGTGACTGTTAGCAAGGCGTGAGATAACATCGCTCATGTCCTTTGCACCACTGAGCTATGACTCGGGGGGCAATTATGAGGCAACATATATGAAAAGAAATCCAATAGAAATCAAGTACCACAATAATGGAGGCATTTTCTATACACGGCTTACACACGCGCGCACGAAAGGTTCTTAGCTCATCTTCCTATAGGTTTTTGATTATGAGGGGTACTTTTTCAATTTCTAGATATTTATCCGGACATGCGCAACTTATATTTAAGAGGATGCTCTTTTATTCCCAAGATAATTTTTTCATATAGGTTAAAGGAGCAAGTCTACAAAGGATTCTTAGCTTATATCCCGTGTAAGTTTTTGTTTATGAGGCATCACATACAGGGGCGAACCCAGACACTTCGACTTGTGGGGTCAAAAATGAAATTTTTTTCGAACAACGTATCATGAACAAAAAGGAGTAATCAGTGATTTGCTATTTCTGTTCGGTGTTTGCACTTTGGGAAGAAATTGGTAGATTATATAATATGTCTATGGACCAACTAATGAATATGGACCATATGATATGGATATAGACTTAGGATTTGGGCTTTTTGAGTATTGGGCTAGAGAAATTAATTGGGTTGGTCACTTGGCTGTTGGGAGCAAGCAGCAGGAGAGAAAAAAAAATTACATTTTCAGAAAAAAATAAAAAAATTCCAAAAAACTATAAGGTCATTTGACCCCACATGACACCATGTGGGTCCGCCCTGATCATATATATAAAGAAATCCAACAGAATTCAAGTACTTCTATAATTGTAGCCTTTTCAATCCATAGCTTGTTTTTAATTTTAAGAGGATGCTCTTTTATTCCCAAGATAATTTTTTTAACAAACAGGTTAAAGGAGTAAGTCTACGAAGGGTTCCTAGCTTATCTTTCCTGTAGGTTTTTGTTTATGGGGGATACTCTTTCAATTCCTAGATATACTATCCATTCAAGTTAAAGAAGGATTCTTTGCTTACATCCCCTGTAGGTTTTTGTTTATTAGTTACTTTTTCAATCCCATAAGTTGCAATCTCCAAGAGATTTGGCTAGCGCAGGGCAAAAGAAGATAAGTCCCCTCCATGTGGTTTAATGGAGAGGAGCCTAGATATGAGCTCAAAACCTTATTGAGATCTTCAAATACAACGGAGGACCAATAATCCTCAATAAGATAATAGGGACTAAACAAGACCATGACGCCCTCATTGGGTGTTTAGAGAAAATCAACGTTTTAAAAATCGAGTTGGGCATCGATCCTGAAAAGGAAGAGGGTCAAGGTTTGAAGGGTTGAATCAGTATGAAACCAGATGACAAATTAAAAAAGTAAATATATAAATAACCTATAAAATATCATAACAATAATAGATTTTTATATTTTAGTTTCTCATTCAAAGTAAATATAATCCACGTTTGTTAATTCATTTATTTTATAACCTCAAAAACTAACATTTAATATGTCCAAAATAATTTGCTTTGTTCAAATTGAAAATTATAATCTTGTTGGGAGTTACAATTTGTTAATGAAAATAATAAAGTAAACTAATAAAAACTTAGAATTGACAATTGACTATTATCCCATATTGAAAGATTACCATAACATTGGAAGAAGAATCTCCTTTACAAAGGAGCTAGCATCGCACATTTGAAGATTACTAAAACATTGAAAGAATGGTCATTTTTAAAAGGAGCTAAAGGAGAATCACTTGTTTAAAAAAATTATTTTGGCCTTCAATTGCTATAATAGATAAAAGTTTTTGTGGATAAAAAAATTAAATAATCTGAAAAAAACCAAAAAAATCGTGGCCGATTTTTCGATTTTTAAGGTTAAACTGGTCGGGTTGATGGTTTATTAGTCGGTTCTTTGTTTTTTGGTTAATGTATGAGTATCAAATCGTATTATAGGCCGGTTCATGGTTTTTCCCGTTAAACCGGTCGGTCCGCTCTAATTTTTATGACATCGGAGAAAATTGAATGCCAATTATCATCAATAAATTAATAGATAGAGATCTAGATAAGACATCAACTTCCCAATTAGGGGATAAACCCTATTGAATCATGCACCAGCTCCATGGCATGCCATCGATTATGCTTAGACACTGAAGTCTCATGACAAGGCTTAGAGGTTAGGCGGTTATCAAGAATCAGCACGAACATATGATCTCCCCTTATCCTCGTCAGATGATCACAAACTATAATGTCGAGGTCTTATAGAGGCGGTCGTTGTACACTCATCTTTGATGCTACTCCCCTATTGAGGATCTTGTTTTATCAAGATAAGTACCAGCTTCAGCTAAAGTCCTATTATCTTAGGTCTTGATTACTCATGGATGCCTTCAATAAACAAGGATTTACAATTGCGGCCTTTATTCGATCTTCGCTCATAGAGTAATTCCGAGCTGAAGTTCGATGTATAACATGGTTGTAACTCCTCGAAACTAACCATGATATTTTCGAATCAGAGCCGAGGACCTTGAGACTAGCGGACCATCGAGGCGACACTAATGATTGGATTCATTGAATGTTATTAAGTTGACAACTCATCAATGAATTAGGATTTGATCCAAGTGAGAGTCCACATGACATAGGCCGGAAGATTTTATTGAAAGCTCCAATAATTTGAATAGTGAGACAAAGTTTTCGAAGTTGTAAGTGATATTCTTTAATTGCTTGAACTTTTTATATCAAATGGTTCAATATAGTATCAGAGCAACCAAACATCCTAATTTCATGTTTTATCACAATTCAATTATTTGAAATTATAAAAGTGATACGCTTTGACCAAACAACACATGAAGGAATAAATTGTAGACAAAAT